CGTGGTAGATTTTTGCCTGACCAGCGTTCGTCCTATAAAAAGCCACAAAGGTCTGTTTAACAACACTGCGATATGACGGGTTTGACTCGCCACTAAATAAAGTCACTGCCTTCCGCCCTTCCGGAGGATTTCATCGCATGCAAGAAAGTCAGCCAATTCGAAGATATTAATTGATCCCATCCTATGTTGGCGCATTCATCGAACACAGCCACAACTTCAGCAGAACAGTGACAAATTCACTCAACGTGATTAGTCACCCAAGTATGTACTGGTTAAATGGTAACATTCGTGCTCAATTAGTGATCATACGCGTCCGTGTTAAAATGGCCATGCCTTCTTAAGCGTCCCGCACTGTCGGGAATAAAACATTTAACTGTTTATTTATTTAAAGGGAAAGGGTTGCATGGAAGTCTGTTCTGGTTTAGCGACGCACTTAGGAAGGAGCACCCATGGGAATTTCCTACTGTAACCGAACCTAAGGAACTTGTACCATTCGGAAAGGTATTGCTGTGAGTGTAACGGTGAAATATCGCTGAAAACATTGACTTTGTCAAGCTCTTCTCAAATACAAGGGAAATAATGGCATCGGAGTGCTTGGATTGCAGCACAGAAGCCACCGCCCGGCCGTGTAGTGCAAAACCTGCAATGGCTAGCTGCATATTGCCTGTTGTAATATCGAAGCTAATTTGTATGAACTACTCCAACGGACCTCCTTCTCGGTTGTCTTTTTTATTTGTGACGCGTACCAAGCGGCTGAGGAGAAGAGCATCAAAATCCGTTCAACCCGTATACGTACAGCTTCCGCACAATCCGTGTCTCACTCTGACGGCGAGACACTCGTGTCATTAGTGAAGCTGACAGGGTCTGGTTATTCTACACCTAAAGGCAAAAGAAGCCGCGCCTCCTCCACTACGTTGGCAGAAACACCGCTGTCCAGTGTGAATAATAATGGGCTAAAGGATAAGCCCAAGACCTATGCCACAGTATCGAGTGCCAGCACCTCAACGACAGCTAGAATAACGCCAACCGCAATCAAGTCCACGAGGAAAAGGAGTTCAAGGCCCATACCGAAGATACAAGCAGATGAAACAATATCCGCTCTCCGTCCATCACCTACTGCGTCTGGCTCAACAACCCCAAAGATAAATCGTAGTCGAAATCATTCCGCCTCTTCCCCAGAGCATCCTATGCCCGGGGAAAACAGTACCCAGAGAAAAGCATATGTCTCCGTCGTGGGTCAGTGAACGAAGACAGCGACTGCTGTCTACAAAGATAAGGTGAATAAAGCCAATGGAGCAAAGACCCAGAAAGACTCCTCACGGTCACAGCTTAAAAAGGTCTTAGAGAAAATGCATCAGCTAGAGAATATGACAAAGACAAATTCAAACCCCACGAAGCTAACTGATTCTACAGTAGTTAGATCCCCCTCTCGAGAGCGCTGGCTTATTACCATCAATATCCCGGAATCTGACAATGAAACGCCATCAGAGAGAATACAGAACGACCAACATTTTTTTTACAACGCATGATCTCCCTATGGTATTGCGACGGATAACCGGGAATCTTTACTTTACTTTACTGTCATGATAGCGAGAAAGATGTTGAACATCTATGTAGCTATATCTCAATGTAGGATATGTCCCACTGACACAGTGTTACCTGTAGTAGTGAGCTAGCCCAGGTGAAAAAAGTAAAATATTTACAAGCATAGAAAAAATCTCCATGTACTTACGATTTATTCTTGGATGAACCACATGGAGTCCCTCACCAGCTCCGCCGCCTATTACGGATGGGCATCGTTTTGGAAGCTGCAGTTGGTGGATTAACGGGCTCCATGGGTTATAATCATTGAACGATTCCTTCGTCAGTTTCCTGTGAAGGCTTCGTCGAATCTGGCATCCGCAAAGTGCGCGTCCAGGAATCGTTTGAATTCCGACACCGAGTTCGCTTCTACTATCCACGAGGGCAAACGGTTCCACATGTTCACCACTCGCCGCTCAAGACACAAGGGATGAGCTACCCACTTGAGGTCAGGGACAACCAGTTTGTACTGGTGACCTCGTGTGCTGCTTGACGCACGGACATGGAGCAGTGGCCTCAGCATCGGATAAGCACCCAGATGCAATACCCGATGGGTCATGATGAGGTCCACTCGCACGCGGCGGTAGGACTCGCACGCAGTTTCCGCCATTCATCTCGGCAGAAAGCAGGAGAATTCTGCTAAGTTCTCTCCTCAAAATTGTTTACCAAGACGAGGGTGAATGCCACCTTATCCTAAGGCGGACCTCACGTCTTAACAAGCAAACACTCTATGTTCTGAGAGATCTTTGCCCGGATGACCGTGTTAAAATGAAGCTGGCCGCTGATGACCTGAACCCGAAGATCAAACGGCGAGACCAATCTTCATATGGTGGATTTTCGAGTTATGTAGAAGATTCCAGGAGTACGCTAGAGGCCGACCCTAGTCCTACCCGGATGGTAGGATCAAAGCCGATACCTGGACTTCAAGTGATGTCTTCAAGCATGTGCAGCATAAGAAACAAACGGGATGATCCTCACCTTTACCCCGGAGCTACGCCCAGATCTAAGAGCCTTGACCGAGACCTGGCTAGCTTCGGACGCTCTCGATGGCGAGGTTCATAAGCCCGGATACGAGCTTCCTAGAGCTGATCGAGATGGAACGAGGACCGAGGGTGGTGTTATCCTTTACTGGAGAACAGATCTTAAAGTACTCACTATCGAGGCGATTAGTGATGGTGGTATGGAAATGCTCTGGTGTCGAATTCCAGACAGATGCAAACCCCTTACAGTTAGCATAGTGTACACAGCCCCATCTGGTAACGATAGTGTTCTAGACTCACTCAAAATCTATCGAAGGAAGAAAGATTGATTATTTCTGGGGACTTCAATGCACCGAATTTCGACTGGGATCTGCTTAACTGTGTGCTTTCTACATCATTTGACGCTGGCCTTCTTGGAGCAGTCTTCGATACCAACTTATCGCAACATGCCTCTACACCTACAAGGATACATCCGGGTCAGCCACGGAATATTCTCGATCTGGTAGTTACACCAGTCTCTTCTGACCGCTAAACTAACCTAGTCTCTAAAAGGTGGTCGTGTACCCGTCGACTAAAAACAGGTATCGTGATGTCAAAGCACAAATGCGGGAACCCACGAGATCAAGTGAACTATCGTCCTATTTACTTGACATCGATAATCTGCAAGCTCATGGAAAAGATTATTAAACGCACTCTCCAGAAGCACTGTGATGAATTGATCACATCCTCTACACAGCATGGATTTCAGAAGGGACGCTCTTACACCACAAACCTGATAGTCGCAAAAAATGGACAAAATCAATCTGTACCGGTCAACAATTAGATACTATTTTCCAGGATTTTAGCAAAGCATTGGATAAGGTCCCACATCAACGACTACCATGCAAGCTCCGCGAAATTGGTATCAGTGACAACCATTACTCTTGGATCACGGGTTTCCTAGGCGGAAGTATCATGCAAATGAAGGTAAACGAGACACCCCGGCCAGTGCACATGAGCAGCGAAGTCCCGCAAGTACAGGAATACTTGGTTCAGAACTTTTCAATCTCTTTATTAACGACCTGCCTGGATTACTTCGAAATGAATGTCTTATCTATACAGATGACCAGAAGCTATGGTCTGAGGTACTCGATCTTGATGCCGCTGATAGACTACAAGACTCGCTAGATGTAGTACACGTGGTTTATCAAATGGAACTTACCCATCAATTAGGAAAAATGCTGCGTCCTCCCAGTACGTGCACCTAAGCCACTCGGTACCTACCATATTGGTGGTTTCCATCTCAAGGATGCTGAATCGAAAATCTCGACTACATGTCAAGTGAAAATAATTCGCGAACCGCGTTGTCGGCAGCTGGAATAAGCTTCCCCCTTCGTTGATGAACTGTACAACGGTTGATGCCTTCAAAAGAGGTCTAGACAGATTTTAGTCTGAACATTTTCCACAACTATTGCAACTATTGATGCATGTTGCAGAGAACTCATGAAGGATGAACGTACAAGATTGCTTCTTCTTGACTCGTTTTCTTTACAGAAGCAAGAAATGTAATTGGAAGTCGAAGTACCGGGGGCCCTTGGTTACTTGCTGGTGCAAGAAGCAGGACGCTCGTTAGGCGGAAGCCTATCCCGTTCTGGGAACCTGACCTAACCTGATCTGCTTAAGAGAGACTTAGGTGTAATAGTTGCATCTAACCTAGATCACTCGGGATACGCTGAGGAGTTGCTGCAGCTAACAGTGTGCTGCGCCATGAGGTCATTCCCCCGAATGACACCGGATATCCTAAGGACTGTTTATTTCTCCCGTACGCCTAATCATCGAGTATGGCTTACCAGCTATCATTCAACTTTCAAAATTGAAATGCATCCTGATTGAAAAGGTCGAAGTTTTTCTCCAGACTTGGGGACCATTCCGACCCCCTCCGGCTCCAACAGATGAACCTTTTCTCCCTGGACTACCGTCGATGCCGCATACTAAGGGTTGAAACTGGAAACGAACTACCAGTTGTTCCAGCTCAATACAAGGTTCGACACGACGTCACGACTTCAGACTCTAAACCGAGGAGGCTGCATGTTCACACTGCTGTCGCTTCATCCACCGGTTGATAAATGAATGGAACCGCTATCCGGAGAATGTTATCAGTGCACAACCTGAGGAAGGTTTCAAGCAGCTCTTAGACTCCTACTTTTGTAAGATATCAGGATTACACTCTGCCAGTGTGCCTGCTCCAGTTCGCTAGTACTGCTAGTTGCAATGACACACCAGTGCACTGAACAGGAGATGGGGCTGACATGGGATCGCCCTCTGCCCTCTACAACTCAATGAACTCAAATACATGAGCCAAAAATCCATGGAGGGCTGAACAAGTTCGGAACCGAAGTGGGTCCAAGGCAAAACGAACAGTGAGACATAGCATAATGCAAGTGACCAATGTGAACTTACCCGTATTTCGCCAGTACCAGTTTCCCAGAGATAAACAGATTTTTCACTGGAAGACGACAGCCCTAGATCACCTCCCGGGCCGATATCCATGCAAGACAAATGTGCCCGGTGCTAATTTGTTAGATAATGTTATGGGCAACAGTAATTACTCGGCCTACCACAGGATGACACAGGCTGAATTCGACATCAGCGGCCTGAAATATCCTGGTGACTGCATGAGGAGCAGAATAAAGTTTTAGTACTCTCTAGTTAATGTGAGTTATTAATACTAACAAGATACCGGAGAAACGAAAGAAAAATTGCATGTGCGTTCGTCTGCAACGTATTCCTCTCCTTTTAAGCTCAGCTTGTGGTACTGAGTAGAGGCTAAGTGGTGTATATGCGCAAAATAATCATACTGGAACTGTATTCGTGGAACCAAATTGCCTTGTCTCTTTCACTAAGAAAAACTATAGTCGCCAATATGCAAAAACCTGAACGCTTTATCCCAGTCTGGTTGCAATCGAAATCCAACCGCGGATGAGCGCATGGTCCAAAGGGAGCGGGGAAAGGATCGGTCAAATACAAATTCGTGGGACTGGAACAGTAGAATAAATCCCGGAGAATGTTCCTTCCGTGGCGCGTCGCCGATCAAGGGTCTTATTCGTCCGCGATGACTGGAATCCAGAAGAGCCAGGTCAGCGCGCGCAAAGCACACCTCGGTCAACCAAGTAATACGCACGTGACCCGCATTGGCAGCCCCGCCGCAACGGTCACGTGAAAAAAGAAACAGAAGTACGAAAGTAACAACAGCGTCCAGAAGAATAGCTTAAGAGGTATAATAATAATATAAGGCCAATAAGCTAGGAGGTGAAGGGGAATGGTAAGAATTGAATTCCAAGAACGTCGAGTCGGTGTTCCAACTCATTCACTGTTGGTGCCAATACCACGTTCTCGGGTAGCGCATTCCAGGAATCCACCAATCGGCGTGGTAAACGACATTCCGCATCGACTCCATCCGATCGAGTTTTGTGTAGCTTCATCAACTGACCTCGGAGCGCTGGGAGCCTAGCCGGTTGGATATGCCTAGAGGAACCGCGTCCGATTTTACCGGTAAGTATGCGATAAGTCAAGACTAAGTCGCTTCCATAGCTATGATAATGCATGGAGAACATTCCCAGCGCAAGTTGTCTTTCTGTGTAGAATGTTTCAGTAGTCCATGAACCATTTAGGTTCCAACTCTCAACACTCTCCACTGACATTATGTTTCTGACTAAGCATGGTGGACAAGCCTGGATTCAGATTCAGATAGACTGGAACGATGGAAATCCCTTGAGTGTTCCTACTTGAGCAACTCGTTGCACCCGGGAACCATAATGCGCTAGAGTTTGATAGATCTGCAACGAAACACTCGAAACACACCCGGGTCAATCAGATTCTGATTCAGATGGGTTGGAACGATAGAAAAATCCCTTGCGTGTTGCTTCTTGAGCAAATCGTTGAGCCAGGAAATGATAAGGTGCCAGGTTTTGATATGGATGAAACGAAACACCCGAAACACACCATGCTCAACCCATTACGGCCTACGTTTTCTGCAGTGGCAATCCCCGCTGTGTAGGTTGTGGGAAGTAAGAAAGAAGTGGAAAGTAAATGAAAGATAAAGGGGAATGAAAGTCATTTAAGTGAAGGAAAACACCAAAGCGTGAAGAGGATGACAGAATAAGAACTAAAAGTTTGAAGATGGATTTGGTCAGGAGAAGGGAAAGGTTTCGTATTGCCACCCGAGTGCGTCTAACTGACACTCGAATCCCTTAACCGTAGGTCCACTGATTACAATTTCTGGAAGCGACTTCCAGCGCCCGATAACTCTACGCGATAACCGAGTTCCGCCCAGATGCTGTCAGAAAGCGGCTTGGGTAGGTTCATGGGATAACCGCGCAGACAAGGCCAACTAGCCGGGCTAAATGGCCAGCTCAAATCCGGTCCAAACTTCCCTGTTAAAAGGTCAGGTCAGGTGAAATCAGTTCCTGAGGGCGAGAAGGATGTTCGTCTAACGAGCGTCCTGCTTCTGGAACATTTAGTTCACTGAGTTGTAGAGCGCAGGAGGGAAATCACTTGTCATCCCCATGCATTTCATATCATACTGGGTTTGATGCGTGCCGTTGCATTACGACGTTCCTCTAGGGATCGTCGCAATTACAGTGACAGCCGCATGATTCCAACATTCTCAACGAATGTTGGACTAGCAGCCGCGTGAAACCTGCCCCGCATGGAGCGGCAGTGAAAAACTCTTCTATCGACTTTGGCGGCAACTTAACGAGAACTTCTCAAAGTAAACGTTGCAACCGTAGTCAGCGCGTTTGGATACCTACAGAGGTTAAAAAGGCCTATTAACTGGGAAATTTGTGCAATGGTTGTTTCAATTGACGAATGCGTCTATCCGCATATAATGGAGCGAGCTATGGTGCTCCGCCATGCATGCCAGCGCTATGGACATCACACGCTACACATTCGCCAAGGGTCGGCTGCAATGGATTTGGAGGGGAGTACAGCTGCAATAGCTCATTCTCAGCAACACAACGTTTGGTGGACGGTGCTCATTTATTCAAACAGCTGATAAAGGGAGAAGATGGAACACTGAAACTCACAGAATAGACTACTTGGCATTTAAAAGTCAACCCTGCACCTCATTTTTCGTTTACGATTCTGAACATCGAATCGATGCCACCAAAACCGTGGTATTGTACAACCGAAAAGGGTGGAATATGTCTACGTGAAGTACGTAGGTATTCATGTCCACCAGAAGCGTGGCAAATGTCGCCGGTAAGTGATTGCATTTATTCTGATAAGGCTGCCCATTTAGTTACCGAGACTGCAATTGTGCCGCCCATGTCACGTGTCATCTTGGCCATTGTGCGTGTTACGGAGTACGCTACGATGCGCAGCCAGGATTGTCATGTGAGTGTGTGTGTGTAAACACATGCTCTCACATGAAAATGAGGAACAACTTTGCTAGCACACGCAGTGTGTTAGCAGTATGCGGGAGGTAAAAGCACTTGCGTTTCGTACCTTTTAAGTGCGGTTGAAACTTGCGGAAATCAGGCCTATAATTAACCAGCACGCTTAAATGGACCGTGGGAACGAAGCCGTTTGAGTGAGGAGGGTGCGGCAGGGAAAATAAATAAATAAATATTTTATTCTCGACAAAGCGAGACACGCCTTTTTGGGCATGATCAGCATATTGCATTATTGTACATGATAGCGGAATAAGCAGCACCAACAGTGGGAGTAGTAAAGTTGGAGACAGTAGTGTGGGCCCATAGAGCCCATAGGTTGTATGTAGTCCATGAACACAGATTGCGAGAGGTAAAAATAGTGATCAGATCACTTATATGGTATGTTGATGAGGAACTAGTCCGATGAGGTCCCGTTAGCAATGTAGGTCATTGAGTGAAGTATGAGGAAACGGGTGGAAAATACTTAAGAATAGTGGTATGTCACTAGTCAGATATGGAGGCGTGTTCGTGCGAGAGCCAATATATGCACAGAACGTGTAAATGTGGTGTTGATCAACTTGCCAATGTGTTAGGGGCGGTGACTTTATTGAGTGGCGAGTCACATCCGCCACGTCGCAGTGTTGTTAAACAGACATTTGTGGCTTTTTGTAGGGAAAACGCTTGCCAGACGAAGACCCACCACGTCCTGGAACACTGCCGGCTGTTGATATACATTGGCAAGATGGTATCTGACCGATTATCCTCGCGGATATTCGCAGTCACGCAACGCCAATTTGTTTCCTATGGCGGTGTAGTCGCCTTCGGAGTCCATTACAAGTGGTTGGGGCTGTCGAAATCGGACGACTCAGGTGACTTGTATTGAATTGATCAGTTTCCTAGGTTCTTTAGTGTGCCATGATTATGAAGTGCGGGTTTTTCTTTGTTCTTTATTGAATCCGTGTCCATGGGAGCGTCGCAGGTACGTCTTCAGCGGTGTTCGGTGCAGGTAATGTTTTCCTGTAGAACAAGGGTGAGAAGAAAAACGGACCGAGCAGACTGCCAACAGAATTGAGCAGGACTATGTTATTGTATAAATATAAAATTTATGGTAAAGTTGTGCTGGCTGAAATCAATGGAATGACCGATGAGCTGAGGCTAATGGTACCTATACCGCCACTTGATGGACACCGGAAATATAGTACCATATGTATTTTGTATCGGGAAGCGTTACCTCACTATGTAGTCGCATCTGCGGTGTCATCGTGGCAGACACTATGCCTCAGCGCAAATAAGATGCTTATGTGCTATGGCATGCAATACTGGTTCAGGCAACCGACTTTGCTCGTAGTATTTTCCATGTACTCATGCCTAACGAGAGTGAGCTCAGCTAACATGCTGTGGTGCAGCGAGTGACGGAGCATTTACCGAAAACTTCGTACAGCCGGGACGCTGGTGCTAGATCGCTGCTTAATACAAATGCACGCTTTCAACTCATGCATCCCAAATGCGCATGTGATGTCTTGCCGCTTTCGTGTACCAAGGGTTATGCTAAGCGCTGCAATACGGTAAAAGTTTGCAAAGTTACGGACCGCGGGAAAATAGCGTAATGGATGAGTACTTTGCTGTATATACAAAGCCAACAGCACTTTAACAAGTAGCCTGCTGACACCGGTGCTTGAAGTAAGGATACGTTTAGGTATCTTACTAGCTCGCGGCTCCCTACACGGAATACTAGCTAGGACACCTTTTAAAGAGCCTAAGCAATTTGTGCTTTTGCACCACGAACACAGTAAACGTAGAGAATGGGCCCCTGAACCACCTTCTTTCCGTAGACCAATTGTCCTTCCATTGCTTGAGCAGGTGTTACGATGGTAACATTGATTATACCAGGCAAGGAGAAGCCGCCCAGCGAAACCTCACAAGCGTGTGGTCAAAAACACACAACTGCGCTTTACTTAACCGAGGTTATGCGTTCCATTGGGACCTATTCCTGTAAGGTGTTGCTGAAGCGCCTGTCGGCAAACAAGGTGACAGGCATGGGATATGACCAGCGGTTCTGGAATGTGCGCACTTCCCGCGGGCGTTCCTACAAGATAAAATATGCTGGCGCTTCCGTTTGCAAACGACCATTCACTATGCATTGGAAATTGCGGTGAGTAATCCTGCACTAGAGGTGTCGTGTAATCGACCATACGCAATGGAACCTACTTTAGGAAAATCGGTGGTTTTCACCTGTGCAAGCACCACCGATAGTTTCTCAGTTTGGAGAACAAAAGTACCCGGAAGTACATGCGCCTCCAAAGAGCAAGGCTGCCAAGGAGCTAGCCATTTTTGAATGTGTTGGGAAGGAAGTAGCTAACGCGTCAAACGAAATGAGCCTTTCTAACTTCCTTAAACAGGTGCGCATTCTGAAGGATTTTGCCGGGCGTCGCTGTGAGTGACCTGAGTTAGCACTACTGGCTAAGGACCCCGCCACCGGACAACTAATGAACATTGGTCAGCTCGCAAATACTGTTTTTCCTTGTGGGAGTAAGCGGAGGTTTGTGGATGTATC